CACTTTTATACAGATATATAATGAAAACATCAAATATCCCTGGATTATTTTGTTCAATTTTTTATCGGTTCAAAATATTCAACAAACAAGACGTACGTGTTTGTGAAACACTGATGCCCCCGTATGGCAACATATAGCGAAGATTAAACTTTTAATCTTAAATGCAAATTAAGTTTATATTGGTACCCAAAGTAGGGTCTTCTCACTGGAAATACAATTTTGAAATACTAGTATATTCAAAAGTTATGTCCAAGGATAAGATTTTGAAAGGTAGGTCAAACTCCAAGGGTCAAAGTTGTTGGTTTCTTACAAAAGGTCTAATGTCACAAGGATTACATGTGTGCAGAAGCCCTAGCCCTAACCGATCAAAGGTTATGGCCAAGGTTAAAAATTTTAAAAAGAAGGTCAAACTCAAAGGTCAAGGTCAAAGGGCCAAAGTTCTTGATATCAAATGAAAGGTCATATCACAGGGAATTAATATGTAAAGTATGAAAGCACTATCCCTAACCCTTCAAAAGTTACGGTCAAGGTTTGTTTTTTTAAAAGTAGTTCAAACTCCAAGATCAAAGGGTCAAAGTTCTTGATATCAAATGAAAGGTCTTGTCACAAGGGAAAAATATGTAAAGTATGAAAGCAATAGCCCTAACCCTTCAAAAGCTAGGGTCAAGGTTTGTTTTTCAAAAGTAGGTCTAACTCCAAGATCAGAGGGTCAAAGTTCTTGGTATCCAATAAAGGGACTTCTCACAACTGACAAGGATTACATATGTGAAGTATGACAGCCCTAGTCCTTATCGCTCAAAAGTTATGGCCAAGGTTAAAGCTTTTTCATAAGTAGGGAAAAGTCAAGATCAAAAAGGTCAAGGTTGTTGGTATCCAATAAAAGGTCTTGCCACAAAAATACATATGTGAAGTATGAAAGTCCTAATATCTACCGTTCAAAAGATATGATTAAAGTAAATGTTTGGAATTTTTGTGTAAAAGTAGGTCAAACTCCAAGGTCAAGGTCAAAATGTCAAATTTAGTGGCACCCAAAGAAAGGTCTTGTCCAAGGAATACACATGTAAAATATGAAAGTCATAGCTCCACTATATCAAAAGTTGTGAGCAAGGTTAAAGTTTTTGCGGACAAACATGCAAACAGACAGACAGACAGACAGACAGACGGACACGACAAAAACTATATACCCCGAATCTTCTATTGCAGGGGCATAAAGATAATTATTATTCGAGCAAATTACAATACTTGTGGATTTCAACCCCTGCTTTCAGTGTCTTAAGAGGGCTGGGGGCTGGGGGTGGGGGTGGCCATTTTTAGACTATATTGATCTCCTTTAGAAGAAGAGCTCCCTAGGAAAATATACAAAAATGACCAAATTTTAAAACTAAAATGTGTGAATTTTTTCTTTGCCAAATGATAGTTTACAGCTTAAGATATCATTTCTGAAACTGATGGTTAATTTGTTGGCCCCCAGCTTCCTTAAGTGGATGCAATGCCTTTATTTAAGGCATATTGTGTAAAATATGTACGCCTTATTATATATCATATAAAAGTTATCACCAAAGTTAAAATGTTTGAAAATGAGATCAAACATGAAGGCCAAGGTCAAAGCTTAAGGGGTAAAAAAAAATCATAGCATGCTCGGAAAACCTTGTAACAGCTAATAATAGGCACATATCAAATATGAAAGTCCTGTCTCTTTTCAATTATAACACAAGGAAAAATAACACTCTTGAATGGTAGGTAGAACTTCAAGGACAAGGTTACAGGTTAAAAGATCATATAGTTTATTTAGAAAGGCTCTGTCACAGGAATATACATTTGTAATATGAAAGCCCTGTCTTTTCTCTTTTAAAAGTTATTCGTGAATATTTTAATACTTCAAAGTGGTAACATATTTGAAAAAGGACGTCAAACATAAAGGTCAAGTCACAGGGTCAAAAATCATAGTCTTGTACGTCACAAGTGACATTCGTGTGAAACATGAAAGCTCCGTCTCTTCTCATTCTTAAGAGATATGTGACCAAGGTAAAAAAATGTGACAGACGAACAGATTGACAGACGAATGAGACTCTATGTTCCCTACCTCTGCGAAAGCAAGGGACAATAAACTTAATTCTTTTAGCTACTAGTATTTAAACTCCTTTAAAAATATATGTACCATGGTTATATTTGATTAAGAAAATTGATTATTTTATGCCCCGGTACCATGTCTGTTTTTCCTGGTTCCTTCTTTGCTCCCATGGCACCTGACATGTATATACAGGCTGTGGTTTGCTTCTGTAATCCCCCCATCTTTGTAACTCGGTTTGTTGCATACCAACGGTAACGTATTTTATCGTGCACTCGAGTTAATTTTAAGAGTTTTGTTAATAAAAAGTTAAGCGATGAAATAGATGTACTCTAAATTCACTACAGAGGTCTCTGCCTTAAAAATTTCTAAGCAACATTCATACGCCGAATGAAGCAACATTCTTGGCAGATCTTTAAAGTATTTTGTGGAGCAGATAAGAAAAAAATCCTAATAACCTTTCAATTTTTCGTTAATTTACTTTTAGTTTCAATTCACTATTTTTAATCGTGAATGACTTTGAATATCAATAATGTCACGCGAAATTGTACCATAACCTTTAGCTCAATGGGGATTCTGATTAATTATTAATCCGTAATAAAGTGTTTTCTGTCTTAACATTTTGCTGACTATGGGGAACCTGCCCACGCTTGTTTGCAAATCACATTTGAATTTTACTCACCAGCAATGAAACTTCTTGTGTCATGTTCATATCATTTTACTGGGTTTGATTTATATAAATATCATCATATACCACGTTGTTTGTGAGTATTTGTAGGTTTAATCATAAATTTTGAGAAATAGAACTCGGAAGCTGGAATGTATGGTACATGTGTATTTGGTATTTTCTGACTTGTTTATGTAGCAGTGTAAACAACGCCTCATATACTGCAAGGAATGCGTATCTACTAATTTGTTCTGCAGAAAAAATACCCACAACACACAGATATATTGCATTCGTCAATTAGACTTCGAATGTCAAATTACCCCGGAAATGCTAATTTAGATAGATGATTGGTAAAAAGTACAAAAAACAAATTTTTTTTTCATTAGTTGGTCTGCAATAGACCATGTGGTTACAATTAAAAGTGATGGCGGTTACCTCATTTCACGTTCCTCACAAGAGTAGTTTTATCATGAAGAAGGGGAAATATTTAGTTCAGGTGCATTATGTAGATTGATATAAATCCAAGAATGTCAGACAGGTGCGCAAGTGCTTGATTTGACAGCAAAATAAAGCGTATATGTATCTAAACCTACTCCAGATCAATAAACAACTCCTTCTGTTTGCATGTAACAAACTCGATATTGTAATCTTCTAAAACGTTCATTCATCAATGTCATCGTTAATATTTAAGTAGTCTTCATCACGTTTGGGGGCAAGAAATATATTGACGAGCTTCAGTTTCAACTGAGTTGTTCAACTGAAGACTCCTTTTTGGTTGAAGAGATAAAAACGCAGCCATAAAAAAAATGCATATTGAAAAGGACAACGCCAGATACATTATCGAAAACATAAATCTAAAATTGATTTTAGACAAAAAATTCTTAACCCCTTTGTATCTAAAAATACCGTATTCGGAGAAAAATAAATTGACCATGAATTTCTAAATATCAGGAATTTACGTCACAGAGTAGGTGACGTCACATAGTTTCGGAGTAATGCAACATGTCTGCGTTTTATGACAAAAGACGACTAGACTGGATATATATATTTCAAGAATTTAAAGAGTATATCAATTTCCTAGATCAATTTGAATTCCTGTATTTTGTACCCGGTAAGTATTATTAATGCAAACGCACCAAAAGACGTGAAAGTAGATATCCTATACCCCTATTGCCTCTTTATTATTTTAGGGCCTTTATGATAGGCATATATCTAAGGGAGCTTCGTATAAATCTAGCAAACTGTTTGAAGTATGTCCCAGGTGAGCTCTTCTACCTTATTTTAAACGATATCAAATAATTTTTGACTCGTATTTAAAAGAAAAATCAGGTAATCATGGTTCAATATTCCTCAGTTCAATCGGCACATGCATGAATAATTTTATAACAGAGATAAATTGTAATTTTAGAATGCTCCTATTTTTTGTTTGCATATCTTCAAGTCATATTTTTGATAACACTTGGTATGAATTTTCCTCCGAGATTGTGTTTTTAAAAAGTTTATTGAATGTTATTATGGCTGTCGTTGCAGTAGCATTGTAAACCTTGTGTCTGGGAAGAATTTGAAACTGAGAATACGATATTCTGAAGCCGTTGCTTTTGCTATGAAACACGATAACGGGGATTTCAATAAGGGGAGATAAAAGGCTCATCAGAATTTACCAATATTGGAAATAATTCAAAATTAATCTTAAAATTAATACATTCACCACTTTTTCTCAACGCCGTTGAAAACCCTTTGATAAATTAAAGGTCTTTATAAAATCTGTACCTCTTGGAAGGGGGGGGGGCTCTCTTTAGTTTACACGAGGTAATATATTCATGTATATTGTAAAAATATTAGGAATATACTATATTAGGATCTTCATATTTATTCAGATAGATAAATATCTTTGACAGTTTTTGCAAAAACAGCATAATATGGATTTAGGGTTGATTCAATCTGCAATCAATATCGTGGGAATGATCGTCTAATCCTCACAACACAGTCCTACCATCAGTTTCTCCATAACTTAAAGAAGTGCTGGCTACTAAAGTTTGTCCATTCCTATCTTTGATGGAATAATTGCTTGTCTGTTCAGTACTGTCCTTGAGTTATTGTTAGTCTGTTCATAAATATCTATCTTGAAGAAGATTTCACTAGTTTTTTCATCCACGGCACCTCAATGAAAGAATTACGGCTAGTGTGTTAATTCTTATGTAAACTCAGCCTGTTTGAAATAACCACATTTTGTTGTACTGAATTGAATTCCTATTTTTTAAACAGATTAAACCAACTGCTCTCAGTTAAATCAATACAGAATTCGAAAGTGAGGTAGGTAAAAAAAATTTGTTCTGATATTGTATGCATATATATTCTGTGGACTAAAATATATAATAACGAAATCAATGTCACCACTAATTAAGCTATTCCAAACAGGTGTCATTGTAACTTGTGAAAACGTGTATCTATTTAAAGAATATATTATTGGGAAATAAATTAAGTTTTATATTTTACATTTGCATTCCCTATACCTTTGAATTATGTACATGTATACTATGTGTGACTAGGCAACTAGAACTTCTGGAAGTGGTCCAGATAAGTATCACTGATTATAATACAATATCCATTCCTATAGTCTACTATCAAACAGATAAATCGTAGAATACGTGTTGTTTTATTTTGTCAGTTGATCTGCTTTATTGATCAAGTTTTTACCAAAACCTTAATTTAAGTAAAATTAAAGCTTAAGGAATGTAGAGGTTTCTTTTTGTTTGAAATTCATGTTGATGAAAAAACAATCTTCTTTATTTTCTAATGTTTATTTGAGCAATTTAACTAACAGGAAAGTTGAACATGTAGTAAACAGATAAACATGTCTCACACCCTTCTGTTTCCATGGTAACCGTAAATAGGGAAGTGGGTGTATTGTGTAGTAAACTTGTAAAGATAGTGAGTCGCAAGATTCGTTGCCGTAAGTTTGCATGATTTTTAATATTATTAAATATTTAAGTTCTGTTCTTACAAAAAAAGTTTATTTTGAGAGATGAAAATGTTTCCTTTTTTAAGCGCTTTTTTAGGTTTAAATATATCGTTCGGCCTTCCAGAGGTAAGGGAGCACTGTAATACATGTTGAATTATAAATCTATTATTTCTTCACATGATTCTCTACAGTGAATGTCAATGACATTGACAGTGTTTACTATAATTTGTTTTTAGTACTTTTTTGTTCCTCATTTTTGTCATCACTGTGTAGTTAATTAAGCTTACCACAAGGTCATCTCCCACGCTGTTCTGTTTTCTCTTTAGGCGTATGTTCTTGAGGTCAAGGTCACGCGTGAACAGAAACCTTTTCAATTAGCGTATAGAAAAGCCCAGAAATTGTGCTTAGAGTAAAATGAAGATATCACTTCAAACAGATTCTGAATTAATCCTCTTAAGAATATGTCTGACTATTATGTGAAACAGATTACAATACGAAAAAAAAGTTTTTGGGAGGAAAAAAACCCCAAAGTTTGAGGAATATCATCTGTAGGGATCTGTATAAAGCACGGGGAATTACTGAAGGTGCTAGTGTTCTCTTTGATCATCAGTTTCAAGACGGTTTTTTAATGCCACGAAATAATGATACGTTCATTGAAGATTCTTCTGACACGGCAGGTGATCTGGTGATGCCAGTTTAGGAAAAGACAATGGTTATGATAATGGATTTATATACTGCGCCATAATTTGGCTCCGTGGATCAACGATCAAAATATATGCTTAATTTAACTTTCTCGTTCATTTGTCGTTCTTGCATTCCAAAGATGTTAATTGGTCCCCTATTTAGTACATTACTACTTTTAGGCCATTAATGAAATAAATTTAAGATTTTATTCAGGTTAAACATGTCCTACATTGAATTTTTATCATCCCATTCTACTGGAATTGGATTCTGGTTTCAGAACGTTTTGTTCGTCAGGTCAATAAACAGAAATAGAATAAAAACCAATACTAAGGTTCAGGACACTTTAGCATAGCCACCTGAGTCACATAAGTTGTTCACACCAATAACTTACTGTGACATAATAAAATTATATAATAGAGTCTTAATTTTTGGCATACTGTTGACTTGGATGTGGTTAAATTAAAGTATATGTATATAAAATGCAGCCTTTTTGACAATCTATTTGATTTCCCTTTCATCTCAGATTTCGATCTTTTTATGGTTTAAACATTGCATATGATCTTCTGTTGTGAGAAATCAAATCTCAGCGAGATCCGTAGAGAATTAAAATTTTGGTTCGGTGTCTCTAATGGATCTCGGACCAGTGGCACATAATCTCCTTCGGGGTTTCGTGCCCGGACTTCGACCGCTTGTCTCGATTAATACGGGCTCAAATGAATTAGCTGTCCGCTTCAATTTTTTGCTTTGGACATCCTTTTAATTCCCTATCACCACCTTCGTTTTTTACCTCTGTTGATGATTTTACAAAGCAATAAGCTATTATATTCGTTTAAATCTTCGATGCTGAGTGTTTCAGCAATAGGTTGCTTCGAAAACTTTCTTTTAATATACTACAATTTCCTATGGAAATGAACTATAGTACGAAGACTAGTATTTGAACCAGATGGCAGACGTGTCTTTTATTTCGGATTTCGAACGATCAATTTATGTCGGTTAAAAATACTCTATAGAGCATATGTTACTTGTTTTAAAAATTCGATATCAAATAAGATTTCTAATTCTGATTTTGATCAATATAACCAGATATATTTTCGTAGACAAATGTGCCAAACATTGTTTTCCAGTTAACATGTTTTGAGACAAAAATATATATAGAAAACATTGAGTTTAATTTACGTAGGGGTAATAGAATAAATATCAATTTATAAACAGACTTTTTCACTTTTATCTTTTGACATTATATTGATTGACTAGAAATAAAGAGTTAATTTTCTACAATTAGACAAAGGTTTGTTTATACATGTAGTTCATTACTAAAGATTCTTGAAATATCATTGATGATGTTAATACACGTCTATACAATACATGCTATCTTTAGTAGGCCCACTAGACTGGAAGTGAAAGAATTAAAAACATGAAATATATGTAAAAATTCCTGCTGACAAGCTTATAATAACATATTCTATGTATGTAAGCCTCATTATTGTAACTGCATTAGAAGATCTTGGCTTTTAGCCCACATCTGGTGATCCAAGTTATACGTTGTACAGTTCCATATCAAAAAAATGAAATCCCCCAAAGTACATTCCTTTCACAAGCTATAGTCAACGAGAGTTTTAAGTTACCGAACTTACTTGGATTAAAACACTTCCTCAAACATAAAGAGAAATCGAAGGATTTCAAATATAGTCTTTGTAGACCCGGTTTTCTTTACCAATCTTATTCTGACATATTATATCGACACAAGTCACGGGGTGTTGAGGACCCTCAGATATAATATACCCGGTATTGACAATGTTTTATCAATTTACAACTATTTTTATATGCATTAAAATATATTGTTTTATACTAGTATATATTTTCATTTTAAAACTACACTGTAGTATTTAAAATCATTCTCAAATCCACCTAAACCATTTAATCTTGTATGCATTTTGTATTATCCTTACTAATTAGTTCGTAAGAGTGTGTTCTGTGTACGATCGAGTTTTGAACCGAGACAGGCTGCTAACAAGTTATTTTATGTTACAGGGCTTCCCTTAGTTTTGTAGGAAGTTAGCATTTTGAAATTTTTATTACTTTTTTTAAAACATCTGTCTTTGCGGACATCGAATCTGATTGAATGACGATGTTTTTAAATCAATGTTTAGACTATTTTTATACAATGTCGACAAGGCAATTCTCTGCTTTTCTGATAAATTCAGAGGGCTCACAACACTCATCATATTATAGGCACCTTATCCTATAGGATTAATGAGATCGACAACTTTATGTTATGTATTGCAGTTTACCGTTTTCATTGATATCCCTTGGACAGCCTGTACCCTTTCTCCTTTAAAGACAAGTATTTTTGCATTTTGTTCGTAACATACGAGCCAAAATTTTGACCCAAGCTGCTGATTTGAAGAGTTTGAATCTATTATATGTGTCTGAGTAATTTTCTGCTAGCTTTCCAAGAACACTATATTAGAATTCGAAAATGATAAGCATAGAGAAGAAAAGTGTGCAAAAGTATGTCAGAAAAGTTTACCCGACAATCTAGGACAGAAAGGCTAAAGATCAAGGACAAATAATCCGGAACTGGAGCGCTAGTAGAATGATTTGTCAGCATCAGTGTGTCGCGAGACACACGGACAATATAGTTGTTTCTCCGCTTATCGAGATATGTTGTTTTATTGACCGCAAGAGTGCAATGTATAAAAACAGATACCTGCAATAGAATGATTTGTTCAAAAGGTCATGTGTTCAAATTATTTCAAAGAAGACCATCCATTTTTGACAATTTAAAAAGTAGCGTATTGGTAGTTCGATTAACATGCCTGCATTGCTTGGTTTAGAAACAGATCAAACCTGTCTTTTGTATATTACACTGGTATATTCAATGGTGCTTTATCTTGATGCATAATTACACAAGACGTGCTCTGTTATTGTGGGTTCTGTGCTGTTTGTTACGTATTTACACAGTGTATGGATTCATTTCAGGAAGGTAGGGTCCATTCTTATTTCATTTTCATTTAATATTATTGATAAGAAAACTAGACAATGTCTGCACTGTTTCATTAGACTGGTGTAAACAGTTTGTATTGAATTTAAACAGAAACAATCATAGATTAAGAGAAACAGGTCATAGCCTGATGCCGTAAGGTATTACATTCTACAAGAACAATCTTTATAGAACGTGCTTCCTGAAAGTTCCGGTACAAGGGAAGATTGTACCAGAACGATTTTAGAGGTTCCACTGTCATGTCCAGCAATTCTGACAGACGAACAGTGTCTAGTTATAGACCTTTAAGGTTACTAACTTTTAATAACTTCTGCCTTTATCGTAAGATTTGAAATTTTTTATTCTCCAAGCTAATGAGCCTGGTTTTTTGTTGTTGTTTTTTTTAATAACGTTGAGTGGATTTCGAAAGCGAAAGCTCGAAGGATCATTCGACCGAGAACTAAGCAAGTCAGTGAAGCCGATACAATAGTCAATGTATACTCAAATAAGTGAAAATCAATTTCTTTTGAAAATTCGCACAATGTGTATAATAATTTATAAATAAAATCGTATTAAAAATTTGAACAATCACATTATCTTTTTCCATGATGCCTGTTTCAAATCACTGATATGTGTTTATTGTAACAAAACACAGTGGGGCCGATGCTGCTGATAAATTCTAAT